GGGTACATGTATTGTTGCACCCCTAGTGTGTATATATATATATATGTTCTGTCACATTTTCAAAGAGCCACTGCAGAGGGTCCAAAGAGCCACATGTGGCCCCAGAGCCGCAGGTTGCAGACCCCTGTTCTATCCTCATGGGGACTTTGTATTGACTTCCATTCTTTTACCAGTCGTCGCTATAGACTTACCCTGACCCCTCACCCAAAACCCAKCCTCACARACARCTGACCCTAAACCTAACCCCCGTCGCACCAATGGCATTTCCCTAAAGGGGATTAGGCTTAGGTCCCCATAAGTACCAGCTGGTCCCCARGTGTAGGTGTGRAGTCTAAAAATGGCCCTCARACGGTAGCATACACACACAGTTTATCTCAAGTCTTTTTATCTTCACAGGGACTTTTCTTGACTTCCATTCATTTTTCTTTCAATTTAAWWCACACTTCAGTTCCAATCCTCACCCATCACCAACACTTGAACTTTTGGGGTCCAGGCTCTGGGCCCCATAAGGACCAGTGGGTAGTGTATTTTGGAAAAATGGCCCTTACAAGGTAACACATGCTAGAACACACATCTGTAACCAGATCCATGTGGATCAGACGACTCCTTGGTGGTGGATGTAAAGATATTCATTAACTCATGAAGTCATGAATGAACCATTTGATTTTAATGTTTGCTGACTCAGCATCATGTTAACAGATCTGTGAGTGGCACCAGATTAAAACCCATCAGTTCTTTCTGCTTTCAAATCATTAGTGGGGTAAAAATCTTAAACATTGATAAGAACTAGTTAAAGGAAGACCTGTGGTGTGTGTGGTTACTGATCAGGAACYACCTAACTGAAGTGAATCATTAAAATCCACCCTGAAGGTGTTGTGGTGAGCAGCACCGCCCCCTGCCTTGGCTCCACCCCCTCACCGGCTGCTTGCAGTTCTACAGGGACGGCAGCAGCAGGCGGCGTCACAAGTCGTAATTAAACTTGTACTCATTGGCTGAATAGATCCTGCGGAAAATCAGGACGGCCAGAGCCAGAGTGAGGACCAGGATGAGGACTGCAGAGCCTGCGTGGCTTTGGTTCTGAGCCTGGAGGGGGGCTCTGCTGGCTGCTGGCTCTCTGCCGGCTCGGGGCTCCGGCGGGCCGTGTTGCTGGGCGCGGCGCTGGCGGGGGCTGAGGGGCTCYCTGACCCTGCTGTTGGTGGCGGTGGTCTGTGATCCCTCGGCTCCTGGTCCTGGAGAAGCCTCTACCTGTGGAGGAGAAAAATCCCAGAAACTGTAAACAAAATCCACAAGAACCCATTTTTAAATCAGAAACCATTTATTTCAGCTGCGGTGCGTTTAAAGACATGAAGTTCTACATTTAGCAGTGAAGGTTACAGCTGATGTGGGGGCTTGTTTCATTCTACCAGGTGAAGTTTATGTTAAACTGGACCTTCTSTCCATCAACAGAAGCAGTGTTGAACCTGCTGCTGCTCTGATGTTAGCTTACTTTGGAACAGAGGGTCATTGTTTACATTAGCTGCGTTTCCATTGGCCATGAAAATGCGCAAATTAGAATTTCGAAAATAAATCTGCTCAATGSAAACACGTCAATTTCGAAAAAAATTACGTTTCTCAACAAAATGTTTTGCGCTAGGATGAGGTGGTTTTTCGGCCGTATCGAAATTGGTGTTTTTCACAAAACTGCAATGGAAACACATTTTTTCACATCACAGGAGTCACGTGATCAACAACC